TTGTTGTTTGATTTATCATCTACGGGTTTATGTCGAGTTAATTTGATGGCCTGCTCCCAGTTGGCTTGTTAGCTCAATTGGTAGAGCGCTGCACTAGTATCGCAGAGGTCAGTGGTTCGAATCCCGTACAGGCCTGAATTTTTTTCAGGTCTGATTTTCACTATTGCTTAAATAGTGCTTTACTGCGAAGGATCGTGCACATATACGTTTCATAACCGCAGTTCATATATATGTATTTCATATGTTTGTTGTTTGATTTATCATCTACGGGTTTATGTCGAATTAATTTGATGGCCTGCTCCCAGTTGGCTTGTTAGCTCAATTGGTAGAGCGCTGCACTAGTATCGCAGAGGTCAGTGGTTCGAATCCCGTACAGGCCTGAATTTTTTTCAGGTCTGATTTTCACTATTGCTTAAATAGTGCTTTACTGCGAAGGATCGTGCACATATACGTTTCATAACCGCAGTTCATATATATGTATTTCATATGTTTGTTGTTTGATTTATCATCTACGGGTTTATGTCGAATTAATTTGATGGCCTGCTCCCAGTTGGCTTGTTAGCTCAATTGGTAGAGCGCTGCACTAGTATCGCAGAGGTCAGTAGTTCGAATCCCGTACAGGCCTGAATTTTTTTCAGGTCTGATTTTCACTATTGCTTAAATAGTGCTTTACTGCGAAGGATCGTGCACATATACGTTTCATAACCGCAGTTCATATATATGTATTTCATATGTTTGTTGTTTGATTTATCATCTACGGGTTTATGTCGAATTAATTTGATGGCCTGCTCCCAGTTGGCTTGTTAGCTCAATTGGTAGAGCGCTGCACTAGTATCGCAGAGGTCAGTAGTTCGAATCCCGTACAGGCCTGAATTTTTTTCAGGTCTGATTTTCACTATTGCTTAAATAGTGCTTTACTGCGAAGGATCGTGCACATATACATTACCAACTTTGTTGATAAAACGAATTGCCTTGTAAAACCCCCACCGACGCAGCACCATACATGTGGTTTTTTTCTAGAAACTTACTGTCTCTAGATCTATTCATGAATTGTATATAGTATATTTACAAATGTATATCAAAGATATTCATTTGGTATCCAATTTTACTAGCCGTTCAATTCCATAACCCTATGTTTCGTTTCAACGTTAAAAATGTGTGTGGTTGCCAAATTTATGACAAAAAATCGAGGCCACGTAAAGAAGAAACCGACCCGCGAATGTTTTTGCCGAAAAGGTACGACAAAGATCTCATCCACCTGTCGTTTGAGCGGGTTCCTGCAGGACCAAACTTTCTCGATTTCGATATATAGTTTAAAAATATGCAAATTTCCAAGTTTGTCACTTGGTGAAATGAAATCGTCAAAAACTACGCATGTAAACATATCCAATTGACGCTCAAAACAAAGAACTAAAAAGCCATGTAATAATTTAGTTTTATCGAATGAGTTCATAATGTAAATTAGCCAGCGTAAAGAGCTTATAAAGCTGCCGTTCGAGCATTAGTCCTTATGAGAGATATATATTCACTCTAGCGAAGGGGTAAAACCAATATATCATATAACACTCCCTACCGGCGAGGCGCCACGCTTCCTTCTAACAATAAATTAACATTTGCTCTGTAAAGTAAAATAAGTTGAAGTTGTGTTGTTATTATTTCATTTACCATTCGATCTATTCATTTCTGTATATGTCGTTGAGTAATGATGGGAAAGTTGCGAGAAAACACTTTGTAAGTAGGCTGCCGCGATTGTTCCAAGCGGGAGATTAAAAGCGAGAGTTCCAGTTGGCTCTATCATGAAAAGGAAAAAAGTGAGTTATTTACCTTTCCAGGGGTGGATAACCCTTAAACGCACAGGAACTGTAATGCTGTCTCCACTTGCGAACAAATGGACGAATCAATGTTGGATTTGTTTTCTCCGACTCATCACTCGTGGAGCCTTCTCTATACCAGTGTTCTATCTCCGTGTAGAGCGGATTTGTCGCAGCATGTTTCACAAACTTTTCTAATTCCTCTTGATAAATCTCCATGTTTATGTGGTCTAGTACAGATTGGCGGTGCGAATCCTCACAGAATCCTACATTTCTTGTTTTGTCCTCCATCAGGTTGTTTCTTTCCTCTTTTACACTTTTCACCTCGAGATCGAGATCCATCCAGTCTTTCCATATATCCCGACATTCTTGGAGAACGTCGCCATCTTGAAACTTTAAGATGATTTCGTCGGTGTCAAAATTCCTCTCTAACAGTTCACTGAGTACTTTTCGTAGTCGATCAAAGTGAGCCGACGACAGCGCTAGGTTATACCAAATATTCCACAAGAACTCTACATCAGCAGGGACATCAGAATTTATCACACTAGCGACTTCTAAGAGCACAACATCGCGAGCTATCACTGACGGATCATAATCATTCAAATGGAAACTTAAACTCTTGGGATGTTCATGAAGATTTCTCAAAGACAGGTCAGATATACTGCATAGGAAATTTCTAACATCACCACACGCTAAAAGCAACACGTCTACATGTTGTTCTGCCGAAGTGCCCAAGAGCTCTGTGATATCTCGAGCTGGTGTGTTTCCCATTGCGTACTTGTCCAAACCCTCTGGGTAAAGAGTTATTCCCTTCGGATTATGAAAACTTTGGTTAGGAACACCTTGCCTGTCGTATCTTGTCATGTTGATAGTTAGCAGAGTAAGGAATATTGCAGAGATGTCTCTTACTGCACTAAAACTCGTTTAACTCATTTTAAGTCTCAGAATCACGGAAACTGGACTAATTCTGAAAATCTAACCCCAGATAGGCCTGGGGATAGATTCTCAGATTAGCTTTTTGACACGCAGTCACATCCTTGTTATCATACCCAGACCACTGCGGACAGGATCCGCAGGATTTGTCTTCTTTCTTCCGATCATTTTTGGGTGAATTTCAAACTGATTCTTGCCATGCAGGAACATTTTTATTTTAATTTTGTTTAATTTAACATAATTTATAAAGCGCTAACTCCACTAATTGACCAAAGCGCTTTACAATTCATAATATTAAAATAATTAAAAAGATCCCACTGGTAATAAAATATGAATAAATTAAAAACCTATTTGCAGACTTATTTATAAAAATATCACAGTAAATCCTATTCCAAATTATCAAAAAGTTAAACATTATATGCTTTTTTAAAAAGATCAGTCTTTAAGTGTTTCTTGAATAAATTAAGTGTATCTAAACTTCTAAGATCTAATGGCAGCTCGTTCCAGAGTTTAGGTGCAGCAACGGAAAAGGCCCTGTCTCCGTATGTTTTAAGTCTTGACTTCGGAAC